GGTTCTGCGCTTCCCTCCCTTCTGGTCCTCTTTTATGGCCACTTTCTTCTTCGGGCAGTTTGCTGGCGTCACCCGTTTATCTTCTGTGTCCCAGTTCTCACTGGGACCTGCCGCTTTTCCTCCCTATTAACTTTTTTTAATGGGAGATCTTACTCGCAGCATCTCCTCGCCGCCATGTTGCTCCGCCCTCCTCCGAAACTTATGAATTTGTTTACTGATACATTGCTTATAACCCCAACCTCCCACCATAGGAAGCCTACTAAGTATCCCTAGGGTGGAGAATGGATATATAATAATGTTGCAGTCATGTAGTTGAATATCATACAGAAGTTATAAATTAACAAATAATAGGATACTAAAGAATAATTATAAATAAATTAATTTAAAAGACATATTGTCTGGATACACTTTAAAAGGAGGTGAACTTACATAATGTGATCATGTAAAGCTACTTCAAAAAAAAAAGGTCAAAAAATAAAGTGATGCACTGCCCAAAAATAGATGACTGGATCAAGAAGATGTAGTCCATATACACCATGGAATATTACTCAGCATTCAAAAAAGATAAACACATGCAATTTGCAGCAACATGGATGGCGCTGGAAGGGATCATGCTCAGCAAAATAAGCCAGAAAGAAAAAGAAAAATACTGGATGGTCTCACTCATAGCAGGAATCTAGAAAACTTAAATAAGGGACCAGGAAAAAGAATAACTATAAGAAAGAAAATATCAAAATCAACAAACAACTATGAACCGGAGACACTCTATGGGGGGTGGGGGGTGGAGAGGGGAGGGATTGGGGTCAAAATAAGGGGATTGCAATTGTATGGGGAATATCAAAATAAAATTTATTTAAAAAAATAAAGTGATGCAGCAGGATAAATAAAGGAAGATACCATGTATATAAAGTTAAGAAAAACAGGTAAAAAGAATAATGTATAGTATTTATGGATATATACCAAGAAAATATATATTTTTTTAAAGATTTATTTATTTATACAAACACTGGGTACAGTCAGAAGCACGGGAGGGTGAGAGAATTCACCAGAGCCAGAGCGGGGAACAGAACAGGCAGAAGGACCAAAGTACACTGCTGAGGAGAGCAGTGGGCACGGCAAGAGTGGTCTGCATGCCATGTGGGACCCTCGCTCGGGATCGAACCGGTGCTGCCAAGGCTGTAGGCAGCTTCGTAGCCCAGTGCTCAACCTCTGTGCCACCAGGGGAGGCCCACCAAAATATTTTTAATGAAGGTTAATGGTCAACACCAAATTCATGTTTGTGATCACCTCTTGGATAAGAATGGCAAATGAGGTCTAGAAAGAAAGCCCAGACATTTCATTAGCATTTGTAAAATTTTCTTTCTTTTTTTAAAAAAAGATTCATTTATTTATGCATACAAGAACTGGGATACAGGCCAGAGGTGCGGGGGTGGGGATGAGAGGATTCACCAGAGACAGAGTGGGGAGCAGAACAGGCAGACTGACTGAAATACATTGCTGAGGGGAGCAGCCATTGAGAAAGGAGTGGTCTGCTGTGCCATGTGGGTAGCCCCCGGCTGGATGGGGGATCAAACTCATGCTGCAGAGGTTGCAGATAGATTCACAGTACTATGCTTAACCCCTTTCGTCACCAGACAGGCCTGAGTAAAATTTTCTTTCTTATACTCCATGTTTCTTCTCTTGGTCTCTACATTTTTGCATATATGATATATTTCATCAATTATAAACAAGCATATCATTTGCCTTCTCATCTTACTGTCAGGCTTTGTACAGTTATTGACCTGCCTATCAGTCAATATGAGCTATGAGTCTGCTCTCATAACTGCAACTGTAGAGGCCATTATTTGAAGTTTTAATGACAACTAAATATTTTGAAGCTAATGTCAAACAATACATGTGTTCTATTTTAGAAAACTCTCTATAAAAATAATATGGGATAGTAGAGTCTCAATAAATGTTTAATTAAATTGAGGCAAATTCCCTGTACAATTCCTATCAATTATAAGTTTCCTAGTGTACTTTATTTGATTTTCCAAAATTAGATATCTGCAGAACTTTCTACATGAGTGCTTGTTATGCAAAATGAGGTCACTTATAAAATTCAGCTACCATCCATAATTTCAATGTTTGAAAAAATATATTAAGACTTTTTTTAAACTGAAGATTCATTTCCTGTTTTTGTTTAACACTTCACTAGAGCTTTATGAGTTGCAACTTTGACACTAAAATTTCCATGGCAACAGATTGTTTTTTTGTCATAAACACAGGCATGATTAAGAAGGCTTTAGTGATAGCTTTCTCATTAGTTACAATAATGGTTTAAAAGGCATAGGAATGTTATTATAACAAGGACATTTTGAACTGTAATTCTGGAGACAACACAAAATTTATTGCAAATAAATTGTCCTTCATCCTGTTTGATATTTAAGATAAATTCATAAATTTTGTATTTCATAATTAATTTATATATTTTGTAATTTACTAGCCTAGAGTTGAACAAGTCTAAAACCTCGTTCTCTCCAAATATAAATCACTGTGAACCCCCTTTAATTGTTTACAAAGTGAAAACCCAGTAGATTCCTAAGTAACTTGAATACTTCTAAGTAGCTTCACAACTTTCTTGTTTTAATTCTCCCCTACAAGGGACCTCCCCAGTGGCGCAGCAGTTGAGCGCTGAGTTGCGAAGCTGCCCGCAGCCTCTGCAGCACCGGTTCGATCCCCGGCTGCTCCCCGGCCACCAGAGGAGGGTCCCACATGGCGCGCAGACCTCCACTGCCACCCGCTGCTCCACTCAGCAGTGTACCTCGGTCCCTCTGCCTGCTCTGCTCCCCGCTCTGGCTCTGGTGAATTCTCTCACCCTCCCAAGCCTCTGACTGTACCCAGTGCTTGTATAAATAAATAAATAAATCTTTAAATAAAAAAAAAAAAGTCTAGCAGAGAAAAAAAAAATAATTCTCCCCTACAAGATTCACAAGAATTTCCTCTTGTGAGGTTTTTTCTCACCATTATAAAAACAACCAGCATTTAAATTTCTTTCCTATAGAAGAAAGAAAACAATCCTTAAACTGGAAAGTAATGAGATTTGAGGCAACCATCCATAGACAGTTGGACTTTTTAGGAGCTGATTGGATGGGAAAATGCCTGAGTTGGGAAAGTTTAGACATGGTGGATGAGAAGCGGTCAGAAAAATCAGGATGTAATTATAGCCAAAGGAATTGCCCAGCATGCTCCTTCCTAGTAATAAAGTCTATGGTAATGATTCATAGGAGTTAAAAAATATCAGATCTTCACTTGGTCATTTGGAAACTGGTAATTTTATAGTTTCATAGACACATGAAGATGTCCCTGACAAACTTACCTCATCATTCATGCATGCATTTGTTCATTTGATAGGGTTTTTTTCATTACTCTTGCCTTCTGCTTCTTGGCAGAAATGTCCTTTCTCATTTCTTTCATAAAAAATATTTTCCAGGTGTCCGCTACATGCCAGAGATGGTGCATACAGGAATGCCACATAGGCAGCTCCTTCCTTCAAAGTGATATCAAATGAGGCTAGCTTTAAAAAAAAATGTATCAAGGTAATGTTGATTTATAACACTGTCTACATGTTTTAAGATTTTTGGCTCACTTCTCTACAAAGTATGTTTTCACATCATGTCCACCACCAAAGCCCCGATGTTCCTCCACCTTGGTCTACTGGGTCCCTTATCACTTTCTCTCATCACCCACAGCCCATTATTCCCTTCTGGTTTAAGGGAGTTCAATGGCAGGCCCTCATTTCAGATTCACTAGGCATCTGCCTCCCCACCCCCACCAGCCTGTCTTTCTGTGTCCCCGGGAGCTTCCATGTGACACACACACTTGTCATTCCCACTCTATTTCACACATGAGTATTTGCCTGGTTGTCCCTCCCCTTGAGGTTAAGAAAGGAAGTAGGTGGACTTCAAGAGAACACATGTATTTATTTTACCATTTATTATGGGGGTTTTGTATTAAACTGTGATTTGCATTTCTACAACTTTGCATCAGATTACAATTGAGATGGAACATTTCTCACATTTGTTATCAGTCTGATTTTTTTTATTTGTATGCCCATCATTTTATTATCTTGTTGATTTCTAAGATCTTTTAATATCTAGCTATTAATCTTTTTCATGTATCTTAATGAAAAAAATTTTGAAGATCTATTTTGTTTGTTTATGCATACAAGTGTACTGAAGTACACTGCTGAGAAAAGCAGCAGGCGAGTCAGGAGATGTCTGCTGCACCATGTGGGTCAGCTCCCTGACTGGGATCAAACTTACACTGCAGTGGCTGCCAATAGCTTTATAGTGCTGAGACTTAAACCCTTGTACCACCAGGGAGACCCATATTTTATGAAATTTTTTTTCAGGTTTTCATTTGCCTCTCAATTTTCACTTTCGGCTCTGTGGTTCTTATGCTTAAAACTAATAGTCAAATCTTGCCCATTTGGTCAGTTACATTCAGACTTGCTAAAAAAGGGATTGAAGGTAGCTTACAAATATGTTTTCAATAAAAAATAAGATTAATTAAAACCAAGTAAGAAAAATGAGGCAAAGAAAACAAATAAAGATTAGAAAGTAAGATGGTGACTGGAGCTGAGTTAATTTCTTTTAAAAATGATGCTATTAGGACCTCCCTGGTGGAGCAGGCAGTTGAGCGCAGTGCTGTGAAGCTGTTCCCAGCCTCTGCAGTGCGGGTTCGATCCCGGCTGACCGGAGAGAAACCCACATGGTGCAGCAGACCTCTCCTGTCTCGCCTGCTGCTCCCCTCAGCAGTGTATTTCATCAGTCTGCCTGTTCTGCTCCCTGCTCTGTCTCTGGTGTATCCTCTCACACTCCCACACATCTGACCTGTACTCTGGTTCTTGTATAAATAAATAAATCTTTAAAAATAAGATGCTATTAGATCCTTTACACTCTCAAGGTGTCAGGCACAGATTCAGCTGTGTGCTTTCTGCAGCCTGTGTTAACAAGAAAATACAACACATTACAAGATCAACAACATTGTGAGGGAAAATCAGAGCACGTATTTGACAGAAGAACCGGTATTCCTGGTACTAATCCAGAAAAGCAGTTTTTCATCCAAGTTCTGGTAAGAATATATCTTAAATGAACTGTGTCTGCCACAGCTGCCTGCAGTAAAATGCAACACATTTCATAGATCATTTTGAGGATTGTAGACTATTCTTTCAATGTTTTTATATTCATTTTATTTTTGTAGAGCAATATTCATTTCTGATTACTTGTCTTAAAATAATTTGGGACACATGTAGCAAGAGAGAAATGCCCAGGCAAGGGATTTTTTTTCAATTTTGATTGGTCTTAAAATGTTTCATTTGCATATGAGAAAAATTACTTCAATATAGCTATTTCTTAGAGCAATTTCATTGGTTGAAAGTATTTTTCAAATACATATGGGGTGGTATAGAAAAACATACCCAAATGGCTATTTTTCAAAACTTCAAAGGCTGATGCTTTGAATTGCCTCAAGTAAGTTGGTTTATTCATCTTGACACTGCATTTGTTATGAACACAATATATACCTAGCACTGCAGTGATCCAACTGCTTGAGGTGCAAGAAATCAAATTCTAAAGTAGAGGATACAGATTCTTTGGGAGCTGAGTATGCATGGGAATACTATGTGGACATATTTGGGATTTCTGATGGAGGGAAAATAATTTTCTTAATATAAAATGAATACTCCTAGCTGATTAAAGATTATAGGTTTTACAGGATAATGGATTCACAGATTTAAAAGAACCATAAAGTTATTCAGTTCAGTTCTCTACTACCAGCTTAAATCCCCTATAAACTGTCTCCACCACAGAACAAACAGCACCCACATAAATAGCATCACAGCACAGTGGTTGAGGGGCTATGGTTGACATCAGGTCATGTGGGTTAGAATCCTGGTTTCCTACTGACCACCTGAGTGAACCTGAGTGAGTTTTCAACCTCTCTGCACTTCAACTTTCTCTTCTGCGCCATAGGCATAGATGAAGCACCTAGAATGGTGTCTAGCAGATAATGGAGGCTCAGTATGGTTATCTCTTACTATTTTGCATTTTATATTATCATACATGTTTCAGGAAAGTTCAGCTCTGCCTAGAAAGACCAGAGGTCCCCTCCTTTTTTAAGTAATAAGAGGAGTTCACTTGTAGTCAAAGCAGAGTACCTTTTACTGAACCACCATCTGCTAATAACAATTTTTAACTTTGCACTGAAAAACAGTATAACAAATTATAAAACCAGAATTTAAATAACTGCTTAAAGCCTCTGGGAAATGCCAAAAAAATGCAGAAACTGGAGGAGACATGATACTTAAAATGATGGAAATAAACTAGGTGAGATCTACATTTAAACAGCTCTGTCCCTGAGGATACTCCCCTTGTAAGCAAACAAGTGATAGAGCGTGGTCAGAAGAAGGCTGGCTGGCCAGACCAAGACTCAGAAATAAGAGTGCAGTGTGTTTTCACATAGCTGAAAATTTAGGAGGGATAGTCTCTAAAACAGAAAACAATATGAAGGCCCCAAATTCTGTGTATAAATTCCTCCTAGTGTTTAGTGAGTACAAAACTGCATAGGTATATGAACATAAGAAAGGTGGTGTGGCTGTATTAATATCAAGGGAAATTTCAAAACATGGATACTGCTTGAGGTAAAATAGGACATTTCATTATGATTAACCCATCAATTCATCAACAGGATAAAAGCATCAACTCAACACACACAGCAATCCCCAATGTGTATGCAGCTAATGATCAGTTATATTTATTTCCTAGATATCTGATTAGAAAGTTGTTTCGAGGGCCTCCCCTGGTGGCGTAGGAGTTGAGTGCTGGGCTGTGAAGCTGCCCGCAGCCTCTGCAGCTCCAGTTCAGTCCCCAGCGGCCTGCGAGTGTCCCACATGGTGTGCAGACCTCTCCTGCCTCGCCCGCTGCTCCCCTCAGCAGTGTATTTCATCAGTCTGCCTGTTCTGCTCCCCGCTCTGGCTCTGGTGAATTCTCTCACCCTACCGCACTTCTGACTGTACCCTGGTTCTTGTATAAATAAAAAAATAAATCTTTAAAAAAAAAAAGATTTATTAAAAAAAAGATGTTTTGAGAAGTCTATTGGAGCAAGATGTGAGTCACAGGTCTGAACTGACTTGCATGCTTTAGAGAATAGGTAACATGACTTTACTTGAGACAAAGAGAAGAAATCAACAGTCTTCTCAGTTTGCCCCTAAGATGTTTCTTGGGATATGAAAGTTTCAGGGCAAAATCCAGGACAATCCCCAAAAGAAGACAGCCCCAAGCAAGCTGGGATGACTACTCAACCTGCAAAGAAGGAGAATTCATTTGCTTTGGAAATGAAGGGGAAAAAAGAGTTAAAGAGAGGAGAGCAGAATAGAGAGCCGTGAGATGGAAGGAGGTAAGTGGACTAAGCGACCCTTTTCAATGATCCCTCAAACTTGAAATAAAGTTAATAATTCACAAAATGATAGGTGTTAAGTCTTGTGTATGTTTAGGAAACCTGTGATAGAATGGGTGGGGAATAAATAGTATATGTCACAGACATGGTATTTACAGGCCAAGAATCATGAGAACCTATGTGCTATGGACTGCATCTTTGCTTTCCCCCCAAATTCATATGCTAAAATACTAACCCCCAATGTGATGGGATCTTTGGGATGCAATTAGGGTAAGACGAGGTCATGAGGGTGGAGACCTCATGAAGAAATTACTGTCCTTGGGCCTCCCTGGTGGCACATTGGGTTGAGCGAGGCACTGTGAAGATGTCTGCAGCCTCTGCTGTGCGGGTTCGAGTCCTGGCTGGTCAGGGAGATACCCACATGGTGCGGCAGACCCCTCCTGTCTCGCCTGCTGCTCCCCTCAGCAGTGTATTTTGTCGGTCTGCCTGTTCTGCTCCCTGCTCTGTCTCTGGTGAATCCTCTCACCCTCCCCTGCCTCTGGCCTATACCCAAGCTCTTGTATAAATAAAATCTTTAAAAAAAAAAAAAGAAATTAATGTCCCTATAAGGAGACCAACTAGCTCTCTCTCTCTCTCTCTCTTTCCCTCCTTCCCTCTTCCTGTCTCTTCACTTCCCCTCTTACTCTCCTTCTCTCCTACATGTGAGGATACAGTAAGAAGGCAACAAGAAAGTTCCCACCAAACACTAAATCGACCAACACCTTCACTTTGAACTTCCAAGCTTCTAGAACAGTGAGAACTCAATGTTTATTGTGGAAGCCACCCAGTCTATAGCAGTCTGTTATAGCAGATGAAATAAGTCCATCTTCAGAAATTTGTACAAATCATGCAAATGGCTTCAGACTGACAGTCTATGAAATGGGCGATATGAGTCAAATTTGGATATATTTAGGTCAAAAAGGACTGCGATTACATCTGGACCTTATAAATGGATTAGTTAAGAAGTTTTTATTTTGAGATAATAGAAACCTACTTCTACACACGATAGGGAATTTATTCTCTCATGTAACTGGGAAGTCCAGAGGTAAAGTGGGTTTCAGATTTCATTCAAGCTGGAGGATCACATCTGGACTCGAATTCCAGTTCTCAGCAAGTAGCTCAGCACCCTCTTCTTCACGACAGTTCATACTTATGGAGGCTTCCCTCCCCACAGCAACAAAGGCTTTAGCGGCTCCAGGGTGCAGGTCCTCACACAGCACCACGGGGCAGCCAACTTTGTTTTGTAAAAAGCCACATAGTAAATATCTTAGGTTTTGTGTCTGTGTTGCCGCTGCTCAACTCAGCTATTACAGAGCAAGAACAGCACCAGACACTGTACACAATGAGCATGGCTGTGCTTCCCCAGAATTTGATCTCTCTGGATTTCATGTCTTTTTCATGTGTCATGAAGTATCGCTCTTTTGTGGAGTTTTTTTTTTCAAATCCTTAAAAAATGTAAAACCACTCTTAGCTCAAAGATGGCTCAAAACAAGACCAAGACAGATTTGATCAGCAGGGCACAATTTGCTGAGCCCTTACTTTAAAAAAATGCCAAAGTTTGAAGCAAAAATGTCTTCTTCCTGGCATATGCTCACTTTTCTCCATACTCGCACTCAGGATGACCCCATCAGTACCATTTCTGTGCTAAAATCTTCCAAGTTTTCATCTCCAACCCAGGATGCTCCCTGTGTCCAAATTCCCACCTTAGGGAAAGAAAGAACAAAAGAGAGGATGAAGGCAAAAATGAGAACTCCTAGCCCAAGACATTGTTAGTTGAGCCACAAGAATGATTACTTCCGGAAAGAGGAAGTATGGGGAAGATGTATTGGGTAGATGAAATGCCTAATGAGACCATAAATGAAGAGAATTGCTTCTTATAGCATATGAGAAGATAATTTTTATCAGATAATGAAATTGTTTTCAGTCTTCAGAATTAAAATGAATCCCTTGCTAATGCAAATCATACTAATAAAGGGAGTGAGAGAGAATGTCGGAATTACACTTGGCTAGCAGTAGGCAGAAACCAACCTAAATAGTCTAGAAAAAAAGGGAGAGATAATGAAGTAATCAAAATAATTGCCTAATAGGGAATGTGAAAGATCTGAAATGTTAAATTATAAATGTACGTTTCCAAGAAAAATGAGGTGACTGTAAGGAACAGATTAGAAACCCAAACTCATGCAGAGTAGAAGCCATGCTTTTCATTAGCAAAACTGAAGATTAATTAAATCTGGGGGAACTCTTTGAAATCCACAAGTATGAGTTACATTAGAATACAATGCAACTGGTATATTGGTATCATAATTAACGGCTAGCATGAACTTCTTTATTAAGTGCTTCTGGCATAGTTCATGTGACAGTCATTGAACGCAGAGGACAAAAATATGTTATTTAAAGTCAAAATTGACTTTAGCAGCATCTGCATTTGAAAGTGGAGGGGGGTGCACAGTTAGCCCAGGGGGGTATATATTTTTCCCTTACACCTTTGAAACTGGCTTGAGACTCATCCCAAGTATGTTGGAGGGCACCACTCTCTCTCACAGAACTTTCTCTAGGAAGCTTAGGAAGAGAGTGGTTTATTGATTTATATGTATGCATGTGATCACTGAATTAGAGCTTTTGCTTCAGCTATATTATTTCAGAGATTAGTAGCAAATTTTATTGACACTGTAAAGGATGATGCTTTGGAGAAAAGCATCCATTGCTAAAGAGCTCATTAAATATAGGTGAATGGAAGCCCTGAGCAAGGAGGAGGCAGTAGTTTAAATTGTATTTCAAGAAAGGGTGAAAGGGCATTATTTTCTTGGGGAGAATAGTGGAAAGGGAAAATAAGAAAAGGAAGGGGGAGAAAGGTGAGGAGCAATGGTGAGAAGCACTTCCTCTCTTGGACACTCAGATGCCTTCTGTGAGACATAGGCCTCAGTGAGAATGAAGGAGAGACTGGTCTACATCTAGTGTGAGAGAGGATGATCCATCAACTGCACAACTCAGAGATATAGGAATTATGAGTCAAAGATGATAAAAGTGGAAACTCCATTCTAATCCCAGAATATCACAGAGCTCACAGAAATTACACAGAATCCAAAGTAGTTTGGAGTATAGGTGGCCAGATGGGATAAGGATTATAGTGACGTTTATTCTAACAATGGGCCTATCATTATAGTGATGTTTATCTAACTATCATTATAGTGATGTTTATCTACCAATGTTTATTCTAACAACTCACCTAAAATATTGTTGATGGCAATGTGGTTCTTAAGCTGGGCTATTGCTTGAGCCTGACATACAGATTTCAAATTTGATTTTGGCTTACATTACATAAACTTTACATCATTTAAACGACACTTGTGCTGTCTGTGGAACAAACACCTTGTAAAGACACTACAGTTTTAAAAGGTTCTATCTGAAAATCCTTGCAGAAGATAGGGATAGCCAAATATGTAATTTTTAAAATTTGTTTTTAAATACAATAAAAAGTTACTTCTACTTCTGACCACCAGGATGAAAATTTACACAGGAAATTTTTTTTTGCTTAAATTTTGTTTTTATAGTCTAAGAGTTTATTTATGTTTTGATTTGTTAGCTTGTTTGTTTTATTACTTTATCTTTCACAGATGAGTAAAATCACGCAGTGTTTGACTTTCCTCATCTGACTTATTTCACTTAGCATAATCCTTTTAGTTTCATCCATGTCACAAATGACAGGATTTCACTTAATTTATAGTCAAGTAGTGTTCCATTGTGTTTCTTTGTCATACCTTCTTTATCCAATCATCCTTGGATGGGCATGCAGGTTGTTCAGGAGGGTTTCTTTCTGCATCTGTTGACCACAACACAATTTCAGCTCAAAGTAATCCTTATGCCAAAATGGCATATTTAGGGAGTAGCATATATTAATCTCTAGCATAATGTGCCATTGGATATAGAATCTTGTATTCTGAGAGGCTGCAGAATGACCCAGAAGATGACATGACCTGGTAGAGTGGGGGAGTTAACTCCAAATGGGTGACATTTGTCCAATGGGAAATAAGACACAGGTGTGGTTGGGTCCTCCATATTCCCTTTCTCCCTTCCTCCTGCTCTGAGGCATTGTACAGTCTCTTTAGAAATCCTAAACACTCAACAAACACAGCTAATATATTTCTTCAAGACTTCTTATGGAACAGTAACCAGTGTGGTAACACATTTCACATTGCTCCCCTTTCTTTCTTGTTTCACTCAAACTTTTCTCACACTTGTTTGATTATACAGCTCTGTCCCCTCCAGAAAGTACCAGCACTGAGTTCCTGCTTTATGCTCTGCTGTTTAGGAATCCTGAGCTGACACAACTTTTAAACTAAGACTAGATGAGCTATATCAGTAAGACATAGTCTCAGTAGATGGAGGAAAGTAGTCTAGACTTAGAGAATAGTATATTTGGACACAGGCAAAATGGAGTGAATATGGAGAGAAGTTCAATGTGACGAACACAAGTCCTGGGTGATAGTGTAGGGACTGTGAGAAGAATGACTAAAGTTATTAGTCACTCTGCTCACAAAGAACTGCAAAAAATATATTAAGGATGTGTAAAAGCTACAGAAGCTACATTTGCTGTTTAATCTCTTCATAAAAATTAAAAAAATTGGTTTAAATTTTCTATTGAGGTGCTGTTGTTTTACATTGTTAGTATATTTTGGAATCACAAGTCCCCTCCTTCAGGTGTAGTTACCATTGCACATCTACCACTAAGGCATTTTTCAAAGGTAATTCTTTTTTACTTCTAGAATTCTTTCTTAAATATGCCTGCTTTTTCCTATACATAATCTTGTTTTATAATTCTGGTTCTTTCTTTTAAGCTATCAATTATTTCAAACATACTATCTTCCTTTCTCTGTTCGACTTGTCTATTGCATGATATTGTGTATTGATTCTGTTATTTATTGCCTACTTATTCTAATCTATTCTAGATTATTTTCTCCTTTAAAAATAAATTTGGATGGTCATTTTGAGCAGGCTAGTATAAGAATTTTATATATGTAAATCTGTGTGGTTAGGGCTGAATTGGTTTTTTTTTTTTTTTTTTTTTTTCTAGAGGAGATTTTGCCAGGAACCTCTCCCTGAGTGCAATTATTTTGAAAATTTCTCAGCTTGTGAGTCCCAGACTCTACAAGTGATGAAGAACAGGGCCATGGTAACAAATTCTCAGGGGATAAGATTTTACCTAAAGCCTTCTCAGGGGATATGTTTTTACCTAAAGCCTCAGGAGATTCTCTAAGATGCCTTGTTCCTTATCTTTGCTAAAAGATAAGGATAGACCAGATAGAATTTATCTGGTCTAATATTTTATGAAGGATGAAGTCTGTATTGCTACTGTGGTAAATTATCATGAACTATCTATCCTTTTATAGTTTATAAGTCAAAATCTATCTCATTGGGCTAAAATCTGTGTCAGCTGACTTAGTTTCTTCTGGAAGCTCTAAGAGAGAATCCACTTATTGGCCTTTTCTAGCTCCTAAAGGCTGCATCAAGTTTTTCTTACATCATATGGCTTTGTCTTTGTTTGGCTCCTCTTCCTAGCTTAAGGACCCTTGTAATGAAGTTGGAATCACTCAGATAATACAAGAAAATCTGGCTCCAGTGTCATCTTCGGTTATTAAGAATCACAGAAACTAGTTTCAAATCTGGACCAGATACTCATTAGCTGTATAACTTTGGGTAAGTTAGTTAACCATTTTTTTAGTCTCCATTTGTCCAGCATAGATAGTCTCAAATTTCTGACTCAAAGAAACTAAGAGAGATTATTGCTTTCATTGTAGCTTTAAGTGATTACATTCCCGAGTAATTTGTTTCACAGAAATATCTAACATATCACCACTCATTCCTACTTCTCACATTGAAGAATTCATCTAATCATCAAATGTATCATTCCAAAAGGACTCACTGAAAACCTAAGATAAACAATTGACTAGAAACATTTTAAAACATTCTACCTGTTCTATTTGTTCTTAATAATGTAAACAGATTTTTTTTTTAAAGTAAAGTCTAAGAAAGCAACCAAAAAAAAGGAAAGAGAAATAACTAAATTGTCCATGTCAGATCAGGCCCCCGTACTATCAAAGACTCTTCTTGTGACATAAAGATTATATAACAAGGAACACAAAGTCACCCCCACTCTCCTACCCATCTCCCACTCCTACCCTCCACGTGCCACCCCACACAGGTTCAACTCTAAACTCAGTTTACCAGAGAGTACTGCAGTTACTATATAACAGAGACTTAATTTTCCTGCCATTTATCTGACAATATTGAGAAATAGGCTGGTGTGGTTGGTCAAACACTATATTAAATACCCCGACTATGAGATTCAGGCTGCCCAGAAAACCTGATCAATGTCTGAGACAGTCATGAGCATAATTGTCTTTTACAATGTAGAGAATGTGAGTTTATTATATTCCTATTCAGAGTCATTAAAACCTGTCCCTTATTTCTTTAGTTTTGTCGTTTATTCATTCATTCACTCATTTGTTCAGTATATATCTACTAAGTATCTTCATTATGCTAGCTCCAATAGATAGTACAAACTAATTAAGACATTTAGCCTTCCCTCAAGGAATTTAGACTCTAATAAAGAAGAAAGACAATTCATAGCCTAATAGAGAGGGAAGAGATGCTGTTAGGAAAATAATCCCTTTGCATGAAGAGGAAGTGTGTGTGTGTGTGTGTGTGTGTGTGTTTGAAAGCACACATGATGAAACAAATTCATATCCATTTATGCATCTATTTATGAGAAGGGATATTGCAGGTTTTTTTTTAAACTTTTAATTGATATAATGTGTATGCTGAAATTGTAAATCTGAACTAGATAGCTCAATGAATTTATTCAAATTGAACATACTAAGTAACCACGCTCAGCTAGTAACCAGCACCCAGATAAAAAAAAAAAAATAGAATTTCACTAGCACCCAAGATGCCCTTTTCTGGTCGATGCTTCAGGAGGGGAAAGGAAATATATCAAACAACTTTCTTTCTATTCACAACCTGCTTAATGCATACCCTCCTACATGGTGAGTCACCCTCAGACCGTTATTAGTCAGCCTTCAAAAATAGTTTCTATGAGACAACTCTCCCCTCCTTGCAAACTAAAATCAATGATGAAAGTCCAGGTGAACCAGAGCAAAAATTTCCAGCTGTCAAATTAGCAAGCAGAAAGCATTTTTTTCTTCACAAAAGATGTGTCTAGACTCATGGAAATTAGAAGGAAAAAAATCCATTAGGTCATGAGGTGAAGGATTGTTCCCTCTGATATAATTCCTAGTTTTCTCTCTAGCGTTAGATAAGAGCAGCTGTTTTTATTCAAAGTCAAGCCATACACATAAAGCAAACTTAATGTATCCTTTATTATAGGAGTAGACGGGAAGCATGCACCAAACCAATTAGATACTATAACCTCATAATGTTGCTTCAAAGTCTGTGGCATGTTATTAGAAACCAAGGGATACAGAGCATCTTTTATTTTGTGTCTAGAAAGCACAGGATAGGTATCCGACCCAAAGGTGAATCTGCGTAGATACAGACAGACAAAACACTCTCCCCCCAAGGTATGAGAGCACAGGGCAAGGGTGTTTGAGTCAACAAATGCCAAAGTCACTCTTTGGCTTGAATCGTCCCTTCCTTTAATCTTTTCTTGTAGAGTCTTATCACAGTTCATACAAAAGGGCTAAAAGTAAGAGTGGGTCTGTAACAGGTAAATAACTCAGGTTGAGGTCTCTCAGGTCATCTATTTGATGTTATTTTTTCATAGAATTAGAAAGTTTGAAGAAAAGCCAAATCATTGCATTTGTGTTGTAAATTTCAATCAAGTCTCTGTTGCTTGGTGACTTTCCAAAGAACTGGAAACGTCCTTGCATATGAGCAAAACTAGTGATTTTCTTAGCCAGAAACCATGTTTTTGCTTTGTGTTCTGTCACTATGACATCTACTTCCATGCTGAGGTGATAGATGGAACAGGGTAAGTATTTAATAGCTATTTGGTGACTGATGAAAAGCTGTGCTTACTAAACTAAGGAGTTATAACTTTATCCATATCCTGAAGCATGTTCAGGAGAGGAGTGAGATTATCTTACTTGCTTTACAGGAAGATCCTTCTTGCAATAGTGTGGATCACGTATTACAAAGGAACAGACCTGGAACCAAGATGACTCACTGGGAGGGAACAATAATATCCCATACTAGATGGTTTGAACTAAGGTAGGTTATGTTAAAGTAGGGATAGATTTGAAGGATACTGGGAAAGTTAAATATGTATGTTCTAATGATTGATAAAATCACTGGGGTCTGCATAGACAGAGTGCAATAGATAAGTCTCATGAAGGGAAAACCTTTATAATTATGGTATTTCCCCTGCCAGGAAAGTCTAAGTTTTATATTTTGACTACAGAAAATGTAAACATTTTTACATGGCAAAGTAATATTATTACCAAGGCCAAAGAAAGGTAAACTGGAAAAATATTTGCAACATTTATGACAGATAAAGGGATTATTTTTATTTTCTTACATGTCAATGATGAAAATAATTGGTCTTTTTCTAGTTAAAAAAGTTTGAACAAAGGATATAGAAATAACCATGGAAAAGGAAATAGAAATAGTTTTAAGCACATAAAATGATGTTCAGCCTCACTTGTAAGTGCCAATTAAAACTCAGTGACATACTACTTCTTGCCTAGCTGAGGGGAATATAAACAGGTACTTCTTTGGTCATGAAAATCAAAGAACATAATTTTCTGAGTAATGCCTCTTCTAGGAATGCGTATACCTGTGTTGTCCAATTCAGTGGCTCTGTCTCCATCTGGTTATTGAGCACTTGAAATGTGCCTTATCTGAATTGAGATATATATTAAGTATAAAATATACATTGGGTTTCAAAGACCCTGTACAAGGAAAAAAGTAAAGTATCGTACTGCAAAATTTTACACTGATTTACAAGTTGAAATGATAGTATTGGGACATTGTGGGTTAAACATTTTTTGTATATTAATTCACTCATTTCCTTTGATTTTTCTTAATGTGAATGCTAGAACATTTGAAATTGCACATATACATAATATATTACTATTCAACAGTGCTAGTACATACATTCCACTTGCATGTAAAAGAAATTATGTATGTTTAAAGAATATCTGGGAGCATTCATAATTGTCACTGACAGAGGCTTCTCTAAATAAAAAATGACATACCCATACAGTGGAATATTATGTGATAAGAAAAAGGAATAAGATCTTTGTGTAGCAAGACTGGGTACTTCCCAGTATGTATTGTTAAGCAAAAAATAAATGAAGTATGGAACAGATTGCTTGTGTTTGGTGAATATTAAATCAATGTTGAAGGAAATTATATCAATTGTACATATACATAAACTATTTTTGGAAGGTACACAAGAAATTCCTTTTAATTGTCCTAGAAAGAAGAAATTATGGTTCAGGTTCAGAGATAGAAGATTTTTTAACTAAACCTATTTATACAGATTAAATGGTTTACAATGTATATTCATTACTTATTCAGAAAAAATGTATTTATAGGTTTTCATTGCCTTTGAAGTAACCAAGCGCTGCAAAGAATTTCCTGAAGTCAGTTGATGATAACATAGCAATTTATGTACATTTTTTAAAAGTGAGGGTGGGAGACAGATATACATAAACCACCATGCCTTGTACATAGTACACGCCTATGATTTATCTATTCCTTTTCATTCCCCACACTTTGGCTAATAGCACAGATGACATGACAGAACCTTTCCCTGTTTCAGGAATACCGTCAATGTTACCTTCAAAATATGGCTCTTGGGATGTCAAGTGTAGATGAGATGAGGTCACACTGATCTATGACATACCTAGAAATTAATTTCCCTACAATAAATCCCAGAACCTTGCTTGCTTACTTTCATACCCCGCTCACCAAAATAGATGATATTCAGCTTCTATAGTGAATAACTTTGCAGTCAGTAGAGTATTATAAGCTGGCTGCGCATTTTATTACTATATTTAGGGTTGAAGTGAACTTTTCTAGCTATTTTATCCTCTGTACTAAAATCTCACTTTCTTTGTCAGTTTCTTGATTCTTCGTCAGTTAAAACATTCTCCTTTATTTCTGTATCAGAAACTCTCTGTGCTTCGCTAACCTCTTTGTCTACTTCAATCACCTCTTCTCACTTTCATGAAGTTTGTTGATTGATTGCTTCTCATGGGGTACATCTGACTTTCCAGCCCTTTGTCTAAATTTAAAACACTAGCACTGTATTTCAGAAAATATGCAGTGCTCAATCAATTGCATTTGTTCATAAAATATCTTTTTTTTTTCTTTTTGAACAAATGTCTTGACTCAGACTCCTTATTTCCATTCCTATTGACTTTGCATAAATCCAGAGCCTCTTTATCTTGCCTGGAATATGTCAATTAGTTCTTAACCCTTAGGCATGCTCTCAGACTCCACCCCAGCAATCCATTTTCCACTTCACTGCTAAATTCTAAAAACAGATTCTGAAAATCAGATTCATTCATTCGCTCATTCATTCATTAATTCATCAAATACTCATTATCCTCTTTGTGTCAGGCACCATGCTAGGAGCAGGGATCACAAAGACATACTTTTCATAAGTTGGCACTGTGCTCTTGAGCTTCAAGTCTAGGGCAGGAGCCAATGAGCACACACATGA